CATTCACTAATCCTAAAAATATATTCAACCTGTCAGCAAAATCAGCTGTCAATAATCCAAATATTAGCATCATTAAAAATTTATCTTTGCTGCATTACATTTATTTTGGTCCAAGTAGTTAAGGATTTTTTTAAATTTCAAAAAACAGAAGTAAATGTTTTTTCAGTATCACTTTATCTCTTTTGATTAATGGTGATACTGCACTAACTGATGAAACTTATTGACAGATGTAAGGCCAGTATAAAAGTCGCAAGATCTATTATTTTTAAAATAAATGTTTGTATACAAGCAAATTGCAATAACACGATTTGTTTGGATTATGTTTATATACAAGTTTGTCTGTTTTCATAGTACCGGTTTTTACATCCATTTAAAACAATCATGACAACCATTTAAAACAACCAAGACATTCATTTAAAACACCGCGACAATCAATTAAAACAATGTAAAACAATCGTGACTTTCAATTAAAACATTTAACGCATGCGCAATCTTAACATTCTAATTTATTTAAAAAAAAAGGTTTTATTTATATACTTATTTATTTAAATTTATTTTTTATTGATATCATATTAATTTATTTTAATTTAATGCAATTTATTTTAATATTAAACGGATGCCATACTTGTTTTAAATGGATGAAAAGCCCGGTAAGGCGTACACACATGTATACATATTTATTAAGCTTCAATTATTCCATGCCGTTTAGGTATACATTTTTACATGGCCTTATCTTATTGGTAAAACAACCATAACGTTCATTTAAAAACATCCATGATAATCAACACCTTTTTATAATGTTTATTTTGTCTGAGTCAGTAACTGCGCGTTTAGGTACTTTGGGTAAGGCGTTCTCTTCATACTCAAAAGGCCGTGGTTCGAATATCCGTTTGGACAATTTTACTTCTTTTTCTTTAATATCTCGCTGCTCGTATGTTTTGCTGTGACGCCATTCCTCTATATAGAATAGATATCTCTCAACATCAAACCTCTCAGTGTATTTTCTAAGTAAGGCGTTCACACGTTTACCGGGTTTCGCATCCATTTAAATATGTCATCCGTTTAATATTAAAATAAATTGCATTAAATTAAAATAAATTAATATGATATCAAAAAAAAAATTTAAATAAATAAGTATGTAAATAAAACCTTTTTTTAAAATTAATATAGAATGTTAAGATTGCGCATGCGTTAAATGTTTTAATTGAAAGTCACGATTGTTTTAGTTGAAAATCACATTGTTTTAATTGATTGTCGCGGTGTTTTAAATGAATGTCATGGTTGTTTTAAATGGTTGTCATGATTGTTTTAAATGGATGTAAAAACCGGTAATAACTGATGTGGTTGAAGTTAATTTTTCAAATAAATCTTTATTTTTTATTTCGTGCTGAAGTTCTTTTTTAAAGTTATCAATTTCCTTTTTTAATTCTTGATGCTCTATTAAAAAACAACGCTTAGCATTAAATTCAACATAATTTAATGGATCATTTTTTGAAAAAGCTTAATTTATTATTTTTTGATATCATTTGATATCAAATTTTGATATCAAATTATCATTTTTGATATCATTTTTTGAAAAAGCTTAATTATATTTACATTTAATAATATCAGTCTTTGAGCATTGTAGCCTAAGTTAAACGAAAAATATCGATTTTTAAACGATAATGTTCTTTCAGTAAAATCGTCTGATGTTTTCGATCTCTTGAAAATTCTATATGATATAAGTTCAGTATTTACATTTTTTTTCCATTATAAATCTCTATAACTTTAACCGTTGAAATAATATTTACGATTTTACTTCCATTTCTGCGCGCGCATAAATTTTATATCGTATTTTTTGTCAACAATGATTGAAATAATGACGTTGAAATAACGTTAAATAATCAACGTTTAAACTGTAACGTTGATTTAACGTTGAAATAACGTTAAATAATCAATTGTTTTAATGACACTTCTTGTAGTACTTGATAATTTATTTATTTAATTTATAAAACATACAATACAGCTAAGTACTAATATTTTAATTTATTAAAATATTAGTATATTATATTATATTATATAAATTAAAATATTAGCACTTAGCTGTATTGTATGTGTTATAAATTAAATAAATAAATAATTAACGTTTAAACGGTAACGTTGATTTAACGTTGTGACATAGTTGAACAACGTTAAAACAACGCTTCAACCGAATTTCAACGTTAAAACAACGTAATAATGCCGGCTTGGTATATATATATATATATATATATATATATATATATATATATATATATATATATATATATATATATATATATAATATATATATATATATATATATATATATATATATATATATATATATATATAT